AAATGTTTGAATGGTTTGCGTTTGTCTTTATTGACTCCGATTTCTTGTTCATAGCACCAGCCAATTCTAATAATTACATCAATTTCACTGGGATCGGCAACTTTCTGATAATGTTCTAATACTTTTTGCGGTCGTCCCTCGTAATACCAATTCTATTATGATATGCTGATATCGGGCGGCTTTCTTATAATGTCAGAGTGCAATAAGCCCTTTTTTCGAGGCAGATTCCACTTGATAGCAAATATCGACGTTATACGTATATATAATTGGCGTGGAATATTTGGTTAGAGAACCAGAGATTCTACTGATATTAGGACCCAGAGATACGTTTATTTGTTTGTTTGAGCTTATTTAATTTATTTGTACGTTTATTTATACACGCTTATACTCTTGTTTGATGCATCGAAATTTGACAGATTGGACGTTACGAAAGAGGTAGACAAAAGTCGGGCAACGAGGGAAAAAAGCACTATATTCCCCTTAACTTTATATATCGTATATCTATTCCTTTCTTGTTTCTGCCTAACCTTAAATAGCAACAAGGATTTTTTTGAATTACGCCCTTGAGGCTTAGCTTAGAGATGAGTATGGTAATAAATAAGTAATAAATATTTATTTTTTTACCCTTACGTATTTTTACGTATCAGTACTTATTATTGCTTATTACGACTGATTATTTACAAAATACAATCCGCAAATCTGAAAGATATAAAATTTAAAATCCGATCTTGCTTATTTTACAAATGCCAGTTTTTTTATTATTATCATTACGTAAAAAATATTTTCTTAATAATAAGTAACAATACATATTGCAGTCCATCTCTGCTTAGCTGTGAAGCCTTGTGATATAGTAATAACCTTAGCATGACTATCATAATACGTCAGGTTAAAAAGAGTTATTAATTGATAATTTATGTATATTAGCGTTAGTGACGCAAAAAAAATTCGAACATTTTATTATAACTTGTCGAATTAAATTTTTCAGGTTGAATTCAATAAATAGATTATAAGTTTTAAAAGTTCCGAAATCTGGTTTTTTCTTTTCCGTAACTCATATGAAAGGCTTACAAATACCAATGATCAAAATTACGTAATTAGATCTTAAATTACCAGTATGATCAATAAATCTTAGATTGAAATAGTATCTAAAATTTAAACCAAAAATATCGGAACTTTTAATTATGTTGTCATTATTAAATATTTTTGTTTCGTTTTAAATTAATTATTCAAACGTCAAATTTTGGGCAACATTTATCGATATTACATTTTTCCATAAGTATACTAGAGTTGCTTCTCTTAATTTTATGCGAAGTCGGATGTTTTGACGTCTTGACATAGAAAATAAATAATCTATACCAATCACTATTTAAAGATGATAATAGTATTATACACATTTCAGTCTAATTCACAAGTGTGGCGCACAACCCACGTCTGGCGCACAATCTCACGTCTGACGCATGATATATATATATATATATATTATATCAAGTTTTACTGTAAAACTAGTACAAAAAACTAAATTTAGTACGTCTTTTAAACCTATTTATTTGTAAATATTTTTGTAAAGGCAATACGTAGAATTTTTTTTTTTTATTATTAAAATAAATAATATTAAACTATTCTATACTTTTGTAATATTTATATAAAAAAATTTAAATTTATAATTTTATTTTTTTATAAATTTTTTTAAAGATTAATTATACAATCAATCTAATTTTATTATTTGCACATATATATTTTGGCAGGTTTTAAGCAAAAAAAATTGGATTGCTCGAGTTTAACTTTGACCGACTTTCTTACGTTCAACAAGTTTCATATCACATTGATATGCCATCCCATCATCTCTACGAGACCAATGATCAGCACAAGGATCACATTTGTAAGTTTCTTGAAGCTTAGCTCGTGCCTCACGTTTATGCGCACTACAAACATTGAGTCTCTCATCACGATTTTTAAGTGCTTTTGATGAAAGTTGATTATCTCCAGTGAAAGACATCATGAGTTGGGGTGGACCTATATAAAAGAATTTTGGCTTTTAACTTTCACGTGACATTATTAATGGACATTATTAATGGACATTATTAATGGACATTATTAATGGACATTATTAATGGACATTATTAAT